AAAGAGGAAAGATTTATATTTTTGGATTTTTATATGTATTGAAATAACTCAAAAACTACTTCGGCGATTCCAAAAACTCTTTCACCATTAAAAAGCTACGTAATCTCTGAATAACATACGCTTTTGTTTTATTTTTATTATTTCTTAATTTCACGCCGACGAAGTCGTGAACAACAGCTAGCCTGTAATACACAGCTAGCCATCAAAGAAAACGTTTCAACCATAATTTTGTCTAAAATGTTGTGTGCAAGTTGAAACTACAAAGGTTCCGACTAAAATAAATGATTTGTACAATTAGGTATTATACCCTGACCTAAATCTGTTTAAACCCTAAATAAGCACATCATAATGAATTACCTGTCAAAATTGGCAAAATAGCCGCATGAGTCGTTACCTCAAGGTAATTTAACCGAAGGTAAGAGCTTCATCTATAGTATACTATACTATACTATACTATCTACTTCTATACTATTATAATAAAGCGTAAACACACACTTCTTTGTTGCCTAAGATATCACAGCATATTTTTGAATAGTTCTTTTTGTAATAAAAAGCCCTACACTTACGTCACACTTCAGGCACATACATGTATACATTTTCACGTCATTAAACTTAGGGGGAAATATTTTGGATGAAAACCCTAAGGTGGGAAAGAGACCAGAAGTTGCTGCCAACATCAAGGAAGCAAGATTGCCAAGGTTTGTAATGTCACGTCATTTTGACATTTGCTATTGATAATTTCACAAATGTAAACAATAAAATTAAATTTTCATGATTTTATGCGAATGCAGCCGTACGGGAACAGCTGTATATGATTATATCGTAATTGTGTTTAATGATTTTGATTTACCAAGAGGTCGATAGCCGTCTAAAATAAGGCGCGTCTTGATCGAAATTTAGGACATGCAAACTAATTTGTGTTTATAACAATTTTGCGCGCGGCTATTAATTTAAGATTTTTTATGTTTGTTTTGATTAAAATCTAATAGTTAACATCAATTGGCACAATTCTCAAAAATATTAATGGATTAGTTTTAGTTCGATTAATTTAATCGGTGGCTGGTGTTGCTAGGACTAAAAATATCTGATATGTTTTTTTCAGGTTTATTTTAGCTTCAAGAAGCATTAAGGACTTGTCCAAGTAGCAAGGGTCCGTGTGTCCACTCTTGTTCAATAAGGAGTTATTGAAGAAATGTTATTTATTGATTTTAATCGAATAAAATTGTCTTGTTTTGCTTTAGTGGTTTAACTACGCTATGTGCCGTGTGCTACTAATATTTCTGGGCTTAGAAACACGTAGTTTTACGGCGTATATTTTTAGAAGCAATGTTTGTAATAAATGTTCAGACGTTCGGAACATTTGCCAAAATTAGAAGCGCCATTGTTGGCTGTTGATTGATTGAGAGGCGACACTTATAATAAAAGAATTATCTCGTAACTGTATACGTAATAAATCATTGATTACATATTACTCTCGATTCTTTTAAAAAACTATCTGAAATGGACTATCTAGTGGTAACAAACGAGTTTTGCATATTGCTTTATAAAAGTCTTTGATTTTTTTAACCTAAGTAGTTGGAATAAACAAAGCTACGATATTATGTTATCTTTAAAAAAATATGTTATTGTTGCAATACTAACGATTCGATTACGTGAAATTCCCCAATAATTTTTGTACATTAAAATCAGTGGAATAAATCATTGATGAGTGATCAGTCATCCGCCATTTTTATTTTGATTCCCGCTTATAATTAGGTGTTTTAATGTGTGAGTGCGTGGGCAAAGGCACGCGGGCCGCAGGGATAGTAAAAGCAACCGCGTCAATGTTACTACGAACTACAAAACTGTTTACTTGTCTAATTTTATTATAAGGAAAAATATTAAGGAAATTGTTTTGATAATCAAATGTCAATATGTTATGCCAGTAAATTCAGATATGACTGATAGAAATGTATTGAAAAGAATTAATAGTTCTAAGCTAGAGGAAAGCCAAACCGACAATTGACTTTAGCCAAATCTTTGAAAATTAAGATTATTTTTGTATCTTTTACAACTGATTTAGGTATTAAAGTACTTAAAATTATAAGTCTGTGCTTGATTTTACATTTGGCATTTCTTTGATGTTTGTAATTGCGAAGTTTATATGAAACTGTAATCAATATTAATATCTGGACAACCGAGACTCCGTCTGGTGCGGCGTCTGGTCAGTCTGGTACTTGAAATGTTGACTTCATTATTATCCTATTATAAGATCATAAGTTATGGCAGCCTGTGGTTAGCAAGCGCACGTTTTCACAGGTGAACTCATTGCACACAGAGCCCTGCCTAGAGTGCCGCTTTTGTATTACATTTACGTCCCCCTAGATATATATTGTGTTGTGTTGTACGCAGTTTCTTGTTTAAGTATATGTAGGGTATAGTATAGAACCATCGAAAAGTTCATTTACATCGAAAATTAAAAGATATGTGGTAAAATATGATATGTGCGATCGTAATTGATAAGGAGGCGGGTGGCGGGTGTCGGAGTTTTGGCAAAAACATGCGTCGCAGCGGATTTGTATCTCAGTACAATAATAGATTGAGGCGGGGTGAAGTTTGTTATGTTACCGTAAAATTGTAAATATCGTTATCTTACAAACTCAATAAAGTTTTTCATTTATTTACAGTATATTGGAAACCAAACTGATAAAAAATTGTAGTAATAAATTATATAATTTAATTTAGTTCGTATTTTCCTATTCCGTTTGTTTGTTATTAGTTGTATTCTAAAATAACGATGTTTACAATTTTACGGTGACATTAGATTACAAGTCATATACTTTCTGCTGTCTGGTAAGAATACGATTGTTGTGTATATTTACGATGACATTTTAATATGGTCGATTTATTTCAATTTACGATGGTCAAATATACATTAAAGAATTGTCTACGAGATAGAACACTTATTCAAATAGGTGTTCACTTTTATATACATTTAGTTACATTAATATGATGCTACTATTCGCTAGTTTTTTTTTACTTTTTTAACTCTATTACTGTCACATACCTGCTCTGTACGAGTTTTGTAAAAAAAGTAATCAATTGCGTATTTTTTTTTCATGTTCTTTGTAATCGAGTCAATGGATGTTAACATACAACGATACAACGTCTCCAAAACATCAGATCTCGATTAAATTATGCATTGATGTAGAACATATACCAGAACATTTTTTTTATTCAACGCAGACGAAGTCGCCATTAAAAGCTAGTTTCAAGTTAATTTCTAAAAGCGTTCGTTTTATTATTTAAAAGATATTCACCTTGTATATTGATTTATGTAAGAAATGTTTATAAAATAAACTCGCATCAACATGACTTATGAAACCAGTATATTTAATTACGTTGATTTTGTTTATTTAATACAGTTCAGAAATAGTATGATTAATAGTACATTCTATGGAATATCATTAATTTTATATTTACACCTATTTAATAAACTAAACATGTGTAAAAATTCCTTGGTTATTGTTAGGTTTTAAAAGTATGTCCTCTTTATGTGTGTCTCCTCAGGCAATTAAGGGTAGGCAACGCATCTGCAATTGCGGATGTTTATGGGCAGCGGTCGCTTTCCATTTCGGTGGAATCAGGTGGCCGCTTGCTATTTTGCCACCTACTACGAGTATAGTTGAGAAAGAAATGAATCTGCATGATTTGATGTTCCTTTGTTTTCTTAATTTAGGTGTTGGAATAAAATTGAAGACGCAGTTTCATCACGTTAAGGTTATAGCGACCACTGTGACAACTGTTTTCATCAGACTAGGCGACGTATGTGGCGATAGTCCTTTTCCTTACATTATGCGCGTTTAAGTTCCCGTAGGACAGACTGATCAACACCGAATGAACTTTCTCGTATGTTACCCGAATGCGATAACCTGCAGTCCGACAACCGAGTAGTCAACTAATTGAATTACGCCCTGAATCGTTCCATTGTCAAAAAACAAAACATCAAAATCCTTCTCATTCTCCTTAAAGATTGAAATAACTATCGTTATGTTTTTGTACTTGTATATCGCCAGTGGAAACCTACGGTTAGGAGACAATACGATGAAAGACTAACGATTCATAATGAAGAGTTTCGTCAGCTAGCATTTAGGCTAGGCTAGGGAGGGGGCAGTTACGATATTATGGTCTTATTCGTAGGACTTTTTATAAATATTTTACGTTTCTTGGAGTCTATAGGGGCAGCCTCTTCCCCCTTGTTTATACCCATCTTCATTTTACAGTCTAGTTTTTTACAATAACCAAATGTAGTACTAAATATTAGAGTTTTAGTGCCATGATTATGGTAGTTACCTACAGACTGCAATGTTATGAAAGTTCTATACCTATTTATCATTTATACATTGCAAAATGCGGTTGAAGTTGGTTTACATCGATACTATGGTCCGTCTTTACCTGGCAAGGAGCTTCGTCCAGTAAAGAAACTAAGAAATGGAATGAATTTCATCTACCTGTTCAAAGATTTGTTTAAAATTATTTTATAGTAGAACCTCGATAACTCAAGCCTCGGTAACTTCAAAAAATAATATGTTTCCTTCCCATCAGAGCCCAAAACCTTTACAATATACACCCTTGATAACTTAAAACCTCTTTAACTTAAAGTATTTTGTGTTTCCCTTGGATAACTTATCGAGGTTCTACTGTATTTATATTATTTTAGACTCATAAGATAAATGTTTGACTATTTGTTATCAAAACTGAAAACACGCAATACATTTCAGCATTCTAATAAAACTTCACGTTAACTAAATGTATATTTTTAAACAAACAAACGAAACATCATTCACTAAAAGCTCAACATTAAAGCATTCATCAAATCAACATTGTTATTTCCAATTTTTTACGTTTTATTTTAAACATAACTGCTTTCCATTGCCAACGAGATTGCAGGCGTAGTGTTGTTCACACGTCACTAAATCTGTTACAATTAAATAGAAAAATGATTTTCAATACTTACTCACCCATTTAAAATCATATTCCACACACTGAGTAACTGAGTAACTACACAGTTAAGGATTTTAAAAGTCGAATAACAGTAATGTCACTTTAAATTTCCCGCCTAATTGGTAACGTAGATCACTCGCGGGCTATTTTTAAAGATGGCCGGCTAGTGGGGCCGCGACCGGCGCGCTCTCCGACCAACTCGCATCTGAATAAAACTGTTTTATGATCCCGTGAAAGTAAATCGGGATTGGGGGAAATATAAATTTTCTTGTTGTATGTGCGTTAATCTTGTGACGAGGTATGTATCGATGCGTATGTTATCGATATTTGAATACGAACTTAGTCACGTCACTATTTTGTGTCGCTGAACTTTCGTACATTGGTCTAACCTTTCCGAGAGTTACTTAGACTTCATTTAATTACACAATAAATATTACTAATACCACTAATAAAACACTATCACATATTTATATCTATTTGAAAAATTTAGAAACATATTAGTTAAGTCTCAAAAAAGGTATGGTACCCCACTTGGAAGTACACGTAAATATATCGATATCGATGAGGAAAATGAGTCCCGTTTAACATCCCTAGATGCATCGCATATCAACAGCACCTGGTCATTGGAGGTTGTTTCTGAGAATCTGTATTGTTTATTTTCGCCGGCTTGTTCTGGTAGTGACGTATGCAGCACGGGGGAGAGAGGGGCAATCTGAACACCGCAGAGGATAACGACACACTTTGTACCCGGATGTTGTAATATTCAGGTTAATTACTCATATTACTTCTTCACGAGTGCTGTAATGGAATATAAAGAGATGTTTTGTGTAAGTGCCATCGTTAACTTATAAAATATGTTTACAAAAGCTTTTTTCTCTCAACTTTTTTCTCGTATATTTACCGGTGACCGCGTGTTACCTTTGGTTTGACCGATTTTAGTGCGGTGCCATTCAATTCGTATTATACCAAGAAGTCAGAGTAAAGTCGGGTCAATTGGGTTCATGAATGATGGCTGGCATTCCACAACCGTGCGGTCTTCGCAGAACTTTCTGCCCCGCATAGCCGCTTTCTGGAACGGTCTGTCCTCGGAGATTATTTCTAAAACAATACTTCTTAGGGCCCTACAAGAAGCGAGCCTACAACTTCCTCAAAGGCCGGCAACGCGTCATTGACCACCTCTGTGTTCCCGCCGCTCGTTTACCCCCTTCTCATATATAAAAAAAGAATATTAGTTAAATTAGTACTATTAACTGTCTTGCTTCGGAAAGTAATGGAAATAACTGTCATGAATAAATAGCCCTATAAATGTGATAAGAATAATAAATGCCATTAGCAGACTGATAAAACTATCGAGCGTAGCTTTGAGTCCTTTACTAGTACTGATATGACTCGATCACTCGACACTCGAGAGCTGCGTATGCGCTCTGCAGTTTGTCCTTTTCTAGATGACTATGGTCAGGTAACACTGTCCTATACGACACGACAAATCTCATGTACAATATATTGAAGCACAGTGTGATTGATCTGAATTTTAAAATTCACTTTAATTAGACTAGCACCACTTTCTAACATTTGAAAAAAGTTAATTCAATTTATATCGAAAACAGTTTTCTTAGTTTTTAAACTTTGTATAAGTTAAATTATTCACTATTGTAGTAATTTTGTATTAATTAAACTACTTACCTACTGACAGACGCGCAAATTTACCTCTTCTACACGTCAAACTTGAAGTGGAGACATAATGGAAACAGTGTCCACACACACATTTCTGTTTCAATAAGGTTGAAAAACAGATTAATTATTTATCAATTTTAATCTTTATTTCATACGGGATTGTGATCATAATTGCGTGCATTACCTTAATGATCGTGGTTACTTCATAGATGTTATTGAGTCAAGGCGCAGGAATAGTTAGTATGCGTTTGATATGCAAATGCATAGTTGGTAATGCAACTGTCTATGTGCAAGAATATCTTGTAGATTGAATTCGTAAAAAGAAGGTAAGTTAATTAACTTTTACCCTTTAACTTTTATAAATAGAAGTATTTCACTTGTTTGTGATATTTTTATAACCTAAAATTATTTGCCAACGGGATAAAGAAATTATCTGTCTATTCATTTCGTTTATATCTATATTTCTACCCTATTAAATCAAATTAAAAATATAATATAGAATCAGAAATGCCCTGGAGTCGGCCATCTTCAGTTCCCGTGGGAAAAGTCTGGTATAGATTCAGAGGACAAGATAAAAATGGACAACCGGGTAAGATGTAAGTTTACGAAATAATTAAAAAATCATAGCAATGACGTGTTCTTCAATCGCTTTCTTTAACAATGTCATTTTTGTTTAACAGAATTTTTTTTTTGACACGTAAACAAAGTTCTAACAATAACATTTATAACAGGTATCAAATACGAGACATGGAACCAACGGACAGAAAGCGTTGCTTAGACATGATGGAAGATACATTTCTGAACGACGAACCGCTCTGTCAAATTCTAGGTATCTCATATAACGTTTTACTTGTCGAGAGCGTCCGCACACATGAAACTAAGCTATCCCACAACTGTTTAGTCGCATTTTGATTGCTATGAGCTCATATGGTGCGCACACTACTTTATTTTTAGTTGTGCAACTAAATAGTTGAATTCGCTGCAAAACAATCGACAATCGCACAATAGCTGAGCGATTGTTTAGTTTCAGACACACAAAAAATACTTATAACTACGATTTAAATACTTAATATTAATACACCTAAGATAAGTCTAATTTACTATTATTATTACAGATATTAAATCGGATATAGAATCGGTAACAACGATCAGGAACAACTGGGAGAGGTTCGCTGATCAGGGGATATGTATCGCTTGTTACACGGAGGAAAATGGCGCGCCTCAAGAGCTGGTTGGCTTTAACATTCTTGTTGTTAAGACTAAAGATGATGAAGAAGAGGATATAGATAATGTTAGTAGAAAACTACAAGTTATTAAGCTCAAAAGTAGGAATTTCATTTTTCGACAAGTTATATAGTATGTGGGGAGTCGCCGAATAACGCTAATTGTCGGTCGTTGTAAAGCAGACTCAGAATATCAGGAATGTTTAATAAATAAATGTTTAAAAAAAATTAAACAAAAAAATGGGACCCACCTGCAAGTATTACCTTTCGGATAAAAAAAGAATTATCAAAATCGGTCCACTAGCGGCGTAGTTATGCTGTAACACACATAAAAAAAACATACAGACGAATTGAGTACCCCCTTCTTTTGGGAAGTCGATCAAAAATATAACCACTTTTAAAAATAGAATTGGCTGCTAGTTTAACTTTACAAAGAATCTATGATTTTTTAACCCTTCGTATAAACAGAATTGAAATCTATGATTGATAGATCTTTAGAAGTATAGTATAGTTAACCGTGAACAAAGGTTACTTTTAAAAATGCGTACAATTCAATGTACACAAAGATATTTATGTTTCTCCTTTTATCTAGTTACGCTGTTGAGTAAGCTGTTAAGAGATATTTGCCAGATCTTACAGAGGTCTATAAAAACGCCAATCAACATACACCGATACTACTTCCATGTTTATTATTGTAATGAATTATTTTTAACTCTGAAGTGATTCTTAGAAACGGTAGTAAATACGCTACAAGGAAGGGCAAATTAATGTAAAATAACGTCTTCTTCTTATTGTTATTAAAATTTTGTAAAGACAATAACTATAGTAATATACTTTGTTGTTAAATCGCCATTAATTAACGTTCTCATCTTAGAGTACAAAATAATATATACCAGAAAGGTTGAAATAGATGCAGAGCGTTAGTGTTAAAAAATTTGATAAACCAAATCATAGTCCAGTAAATCATTTTGGCGCCCAATTTACTTACGCTCATCTTTTTGTTGGTTATCACGTTCAGTGCTAAGATTTTAATTTGCAAAGAAAACATAAACGACGTCGGCATTGAATGTGTTGCCCTCAACACGTCACAATATTCCTATATTACCTGAATATTTGCAGGTCGCAGGTGAAGCGTGGAGGAAACTTTTAAAGACATTAGTAGCTGCTGAGAAGTTAGTGGATGTCTTTAAATATTACGGCGTGGATAAGTACTTGACATCTAGCGGACTGACAGTACTACCTGAGCACCGAGGACAGAACATCGGCGCGAAAATCATTGCGGTTAGGTAAATATGTTTGTTTATTTTATTCTTTGTTAACTAGTTGCCTCACCTTCAGGCCTGATTAGACTTTTTAAATCAAGATGGCGGAAAATATTCAAATTTTTTTATATCATAAGGTGGCAAACGGGTTAGCGGCCACCTGAATCTACCAAAATGGCGAAGCGACCTCTACCCATAGACATACTTCACGCCTGTCTTCTGTGTGGTCGTAGTATATCACCGGGTGAGCCGGCCCATTAGTGTGAAGATGTTAAAGCAGGCTCTACCACTGTCAAAGATTTAATCTAATCAAATACTCCTCCATTCAAAGCCGGCTACGAATCTACAGTTTCCGTGGCATTACGGATGCAATGGGCGTCGGATCAATATAAGGCGATTCGCTGCTAGAAATAACTTTACACTTTTCAGGGAAGCAATCTGTAAAACCTTCGGTATAAAAGCAGCGGCGACTGTATTCACGGCTAGTAGCTCACAGGTGTTAGCCGCTAAGTGTGGATATCACCAACTAGCTGTGCTACCTTACGAGAATATGTTACCTAATGGCATTGACCTCTCCGGCTGTGATACATCGAGTGCTATCCTCATGGCGAGAACATATTAGTTTCAAATTTTCAGATTCACGATATCCTATTTCGACCTTTGATGAAAATAGTTCATGTCTTATGTAACTTTTTAAGTTGTATTTGACTTGACTTATTTTTGTAGTTGAAAATAATTTTAGAAGTAACTACCACACGCATTGATCTACATAGAGATACTGAAGTGGTATTTTATGTCTATTTGATTTTCGCCATTTTAGTGCTAACGGTTGGTGAGTGGTGAGAATTCGATCTACTGATACCAATATTATAAATGCCAACATTTTAGATGGATGTGAGAGTTTATAGTCTAAACGGCTGAACGGATCTGGATGAAATATGGCATAGATGTAGAGCATAGATCTTTGATGTCTGAAATAAATGATTATTATTATTATAGTCTTTTCACTTTTGTTTTTTAATACCACACAGACGGAGTCGAGGGCAAAAGCTAATAATAGAAGTAATTAACTGTCAGGACCTTCAATTGTTTAAATCGGAACGAAGCTAGAGCTGTCATTTTCAAGCGATAACCTGTCTATTTATATTAGACTGATAGGAATAAACTGTTTCAGTAGTGAAAAATAAAACTCAAATATATCAAATCTTAACTTATTATTATAAAACGCACAATACACTATAAATGCAGTACTCTTAGTATAAAAACCGTTCAGCTTAGTCCATTCAGACATACAAAATGTTCTAAAACATCGGCAAGTTATTATAAGTTTAAGGGCCTGTACCAAATTGTAAACTGTGTGATCACAATCTAACGTGTAAAATGTGATGGAAATATCGGATTTTGTTCCCTTATTTGACAGTGAAGTCATTTTTAAGCTATCTGAGTCTCTATCAGCTAGTGGTGGGACAGGCCTTTAGTATGACTTTATATGAATGGCATATAAGTATATAAAAACTTCTCATACCATCCAAATGACAAGATTTTTGTATAGACTAGGTCAGTGATTCTCAACCACTGTGCCGCGGCACATTCATGTGCCGCCAAATTTCAAGTGTCCCGCCAAATTTTGCATATTTTTGTCATAAACTATTTACGCAGTGTATTCTAGTAAGTATATAATTTTTATCTTTTTCTTTGTGTGCCGCTAAATTTTGAAATCTTTAAATATGTGCCGCAACAAAAAAAAGGTTGAGAATCACTGGTTTAGGGTACTGACACTAACAGATGAATGATAAAGGTGCGATTACACTGGACACGGCAATTGTCATATATCGGTATCAATAATTCTTTGTCATATAAATATATACTGTTTAAAGTTGCCATGTCCCGAAAACGCACTTTTCTCTTCTGTTCTGAATGTTCAAAGTTTATATATCGATGGGTGACAAGCTATTTCTTTCAACCGCCATTTTATGCAATATTGACTCATATATTGAGAATTTTAAATATGTAACAAATAATGAAGTATGCAGAATTATAGTAATTTTAATCTGGAATAGGTCTGAAAATCTTTCAATTGAAATTATTTCCAGGATTTGCTTTTGATTTTTTTTTAATGAAGACTTTAAATGGCTCTCCTGAACATTTAACCTAATGGCGCTTAAAACAAATAGCCTTTCACCCAATAATATGATGTTTATGCAATATAAATGTTATTTTACTAGCTTATACATAAAAATACATAAGAGTTTTTGTATAACATTAATTTAAATAATATAAATGCAATACCATGGTTAACTTTTTATTTTAGTTTTTATTATAACAAAAACTGCATATAAATGTGTTTAAAATATTCTTTACGAAAATAAATTCATCGACGTATTAATTGGAATATAATTGGGACTATTCACAATAAAAAATCTATTTTATTAAATTAAAAAACGAGTATTTTATTAAGATTCATAAAGCTTTTAAGTAAATAATAATATAATTTATTTGGAATGTCTTTATGTAAAACACCTAGATTCTTGTTAGTGTTGGAGTTCTATTCCAGCCTATTTTAGAAAAATTTTGGTCCAAAAAAGGTTTATTAAAAATTTTGGTAAAACAACAAATACATCTCTCACATGTGCGCACATTCTTATTATTATGTATATATATCCTCTTATTCTAATTATTATATATTGCTTGTAACAGCATTTGGAAAGTAAATACAAACGAGATACAAAAACACAAGTCACTGGCAAGAATTATCAACATTCAATGTGGCAATACTTAATAATGTACTTTGTTGATTAAATATAATTTAAACATACTTAAAAATAATACTGGACTGAATTTTTAAGGAATATTCTTTTCAATTTTAAAAGATTTTGAAACTCAAGTAAAACTTAAAAAAATATAATTTCAATAATTTGTACATCCTGTACATACAATTTAAAAAAAGTGTGACTTACTTACTAGTTTTCTTACAAGTGACCTGTATCCTATTGGTATTAAAATCTATCTGTTGAGTTTCTCATTCAGCCAATCAGATGTGAGTTCATCGATCTCCCGAACTTCGAGAAGTCGCGGTGCCCCAACCGCCGCCGCCAGGGCGCGCTGCGTGCCCGCGTACATTACCTACATATAGCATCATCATTACCTCCCTATCCTACTCCCGTAGGGTCAGCGCAACAAGTTTTTGTCCTCCAAATAACTTTATCATATGTCATCTCAGTCATCACTCCCTTTTTGATCATGTCACCTTTTACACAATCCATCCATATCTTTCTAGTTCTACCTCTACCGATGTACCCTTCCACACTCATAACTAACATTCTCCTTGTAACATGCGATTCATCCAGAATTATTCATTAAGAAATTTTCTTAATGAGCAGTTCTTAGGAAGCCTTTGCCACTGGCATGGATAAGCCAGAGGCTTTATTTCTTTTTTAAAAAAAAAAACACTTCAATAAAGAAATTATTTCATTCAGATTTTTGAACATGCTGTATATATGGTTACAAAGCAACACAGACCTGTCTTTTATAATTTCATTGATATTTTAATGGCATATGTATCCATTGTGCCAATAGCTGGCATGCCAGCTTCTATCTCATTTTACAAGCATGCGAATTTCTTAAAGTCTTATTAAGAAACTTCAACACAATTGAGTAATCTAATACTACACAATATATGCTATAATAAAACAAAGTATATACCTGTAATTCCATATGTGCATCTCTGGGTGTATAAAATATGAAGCACATAGGAAATGAGGTGCGCCCATCATTGTGTTCCATTTTGTAACTGTAAATATAATAAAAAAGTGCATTTTAATTTAGATTTCCACTACAGTTCTATTGTTGTTTACATCTGTCTGCATGTATGTTTAACTAGCTTTTGCCTGCAACTTTGTCCATGCAATATTAAGAGAAAAATTAGTTTATATGCCCGTCTATGCCAGCTACCCTTCGTCGTGTCTAAATTGGCCCAGGCATTTCGGAGATTACTCCGAACAAACGCGGCTTGTGGACAGACAAATTTTTTTAAATGTGATTTTCGTTATCAGCAAAGCAAATGTAATACACCATCTTCCCGAAATCTGGAATTTTTCTATTGATATTATAGACATTCCATTTTTATTATATTATATGTATATCTGAAAGAGACGATCTCGTACGGGAAGGTACGCGCAAGTAAAATAAATAAGAAATAAACCAAAAACAACTTTTAATAAAAATTTACAAATTAAAAAAAAATATACACATTTCAGCCTAGCGTTGTGTGTGACATCTGCTCGAACAATAATGCTTCAAATATTTACAAAAGAATAAATAAAAAATAAACATTCTTATTTTAAAAAAAGGATTAAAAATAAAAATTTAAAAAGGATTATTGCATCGCCAACAATATCTGTGGTGCCACCAGAAAAATGAAGGTGAGTGATAGTTATTGAATAATTAGTTTAATGATACATGATCAATGTCAGTCAATCAATGGTCACAAACAAAATGGAACATATATTCTAGCAAGAAAGATTGTATACAATAAAACTAAGTAAGAATACTATATCCAGTAATGGATAAGTGAGCCATGAAAGCCCATTATGTACTTGAAAAGATACCTGTATATAATAAATCGGGGCTGATGTGAGGGCAGTATATCCTGCAGTTCTTCAAGCTCCACACTCTCTAGTTCCTCATCCACTTCTAGTGCTTGTTTTTCTCTGTTCACCTGTAAAGTGATAAAATAAAACAACTTTAGAAACAAAGAACCCCTTTTCTGTTCCCTGTGGTTGTGCTCAACACCAGATAAACCTCAAATGTATCAAAGAAGATTCTTATTGGCAATATTTTCTTTTTAGCAAGAAGGGAAGTGAAAATAACACCAACCAAATATATTTGTCTTGGTTTTTACAAAAAAATGGTGTATAAGCATACAATTTTATTTTAACATTGAATAAATTGGTAACCAGAACAATGCTTAAATGTAAATGTAACAGATAAGATAAACAGTTACTGCAGTTGAATGTTCACTGCTTTATTTACAAGTTCCTGTCCGTAACTAAAATTGATTGTGACTCATTCAATGTTCTATATTTTCTATCACAGAAGCATTGTATAATTGAACAATTGTTGGATGTAATTGTGACAAAATTTACAATACAAGAGACAGGACAGCAAATATACGACTCTACGATGTAATTTATATTTATAAACACACCCGAACAATTAAGTAAAGCCCTTTTCCTGTTTACAAGTTTGAATCTTACCTTTAAAATTAATGCTGAATTAGAATTGTGCTTTTGAAAACGAAACTTCTTTAATACATTTTTTACATCTTCGCCGATGTCACAAACGTTAACATTTTGCCCCGACATGGTCAACAAATTACATAAAATGTTCAATTTTAGGCGAATAAATCGCTATAAAACGCAAATAGTGGCCGATCCCAAACTATTCATACGTCAACAAAAGTTATGAATGGACTTGTCAAATTACTCTTTTGACATTGACATTAACTGTTAATGGTTAAGTTGTGTTCAGTTAAAAGTATCCATTTTATTGAATTTTCACGGACTACCTATGTACTTAAAGGTTATTAACATTTTAATTTAACTATTATGGTTTTTTATTACTAAGTACAATATGGATATTATTATTGAGATAAATAATCGGTAACCATCCAACAGGTTTAATTTGAACATTATAGAATAGTCTGACTTTTTTGCGTTAAGTTGGTCAATATCACATCACAAGTGTCAAATGTCAATTCACATCATATGTCATTGTCAAATATTAGTTTCTGTTTCTGAAAATTATTGTTATAAGTATAACAGTGTTATTTACGGCAATTATCATATTTGAGTGATAAACGTAAAAACACATCATGTTTAAACTTGCGGATTTTGTGTTGTAGGTATTTTCAACAATCAATGTAACTGTGGTAGGTTAGTCTTTGTGTGATTATCATTTTTTAGAAAGTGTAACATACAAAATTCGTTGTATTCATTGTACTATTCTTTACATTGTGATTGTATGTGGCCTATATAGAAGTCAATAGCATTAACCTTATATGTAAGTATTTCTATAGCTGATAAATTGTACTTTTTTATTAATATCGTCTACTCGTTAAAAAGAGGTCGTTTAAAAGTTCTGCGTTAGAACAAAAAGTTTAGTAGTTTTCTTAATGTAATCAAAATTTATTTTAACACATTTCTTACAAGCGTAATATGTAAAGATAAATTAAATGCAATTTACATGACCTTTTTATAAAACGAAATATATGTAATAATTTTTGCTTATAAAATAGAGGGAAATATTCTATACAATTTATGTGATTTTTCTTTTATAAAGAGAAAAATGCTTTAATTGTTTAAATGTATAAACAATGTCCATAACAATAACAATGTCCGATCCTATCTTCCTGTTACATTCAAAGCTCTTTTGTTTTAACTACTATGATTCACAGATGTTGATAAATAGATTTTTACTAACAAGTTTTTATTAAGTTTGCTGTATGTAAGAGTTTTGACATCTTTTTTCATCTAAAACATTAGGTTATTTTTAATTTACTTTATATCAAAAATATTATATGTATAATTTGAACTAGCATATCAAAAAAAAATATTTATTTACTGCTAATGTGATTTATGGGAATATTTATATATTTATATCATTTTCCACATTACATTATGTATATTTTAAAAATATAATACAAGTAGCTAGTTGGACAATATATGATAAGGATAAATGTCTTATTGTATAGATTAATTTATCTGACAACTTTAATAATACCCATATGAAAACTTGCAAGATTATAGCCTCTTATCACATAAGTTTTTATTGCTGTACTATATAGTAACTAAATGTGAAATTTAAAATAAACCACTACAAAAAATTGTGATTAAAATTTGTTAAAAGAAAAGAACTTGGGACACTTTTTAATAATTGCTATGTAAGTAAAGTCATCATTGAATAGATAAAATTATAGATTAGTGATTAAATACTGGATTAAATGTAATATGCGGATTTTCCAATTAATTGTTGGATATGTCAATATTTTTTTTTTTTAAATTCATTCTTTTATTTATTTATTTTAATACATTCAAATAAATTGTCTCTTTCATATATCTCAGGTAATATCTGAATTCACTCCCTTCTTAACTTAACTTCTTTGTTGCCATGCACAGTTAATTTTAACATTTATGTTATTTTCTCTGTAATATGTACATAACTAACTTTTGACTTTTCTTTAATACTAGCTTTTGCCCGCGACTCCGTACACATGCAAAAAAAAAACGAATGTGTGCTTGTGTTCTTCCAGATTATACTCTACATCTATACCAAATTTCATCGACCGTTCAGCCGTTTAGGCTACAAACTCTAACAATCATCCATCGAAACTTTTACATTTATAATATTAGTATGAAGTATGATGTTTTTTGTTATCAAAATAATTGAAGTATGAAAATGTCTGTAATCAATCTAGGACATAAGCTAAGTAGACTTCAAGTATCACTTAACACTAATTAGTAATTAGTAAATCATAATATATTAACTAAAACTAGTGTTTGTTTGTCTCCTAAAAAATTAAAAACTACTGGAGAAATTTTAATGTCTTAATTTAGGATTTCATGGTTATGCTTTAAAAAACCTAAAAATAAATAAGGGGTTTTAGTTTTTTTGGAAATTCTGACATTGTGACTTTTTTTTAACCTTATTATTTATATTTTTTGTCATAGATAAGTACAGTCGAACCTCTGTAACTTCAAAAAAATAATGTTTCCTTCCTTTCAGAGACCAAAACCTCTACAACATGACCCTTGAAAACTTAAAACCTCTATAACTTAAAATATTTTATGTTTCCTTTGGTAAAAGTATATTTCATAAGATTTTTGTACAAAATTTAATAATTTTTAATAAACAATGTTGATGGTTTTATTATCTTTTACAGATGAATTGAGAATATGAAGAAAACCAACTGTTATTGTGGGGAAATCTAAAACAAGATGGCTTCACCTAGTAAGTGTCAATTATTTAAATATGTGGATATTATTTTTAATTTTACATTTTTTGACAGAATTATATGTAGCCTATATTACTCAGGGATAATGTAGCATGATAGTTGTGAAAGAATTTTTCAAATTAGTCCAGTAGTTTTTGAGTTTATTCATTACTAGTTGTTGCTTACGATTTTGCCCGTGTGAAATTAAAACCTAACACAAAACATAGCCTGTCATTGATAAAATAGATTTTTAATGGTGAAAGAATTTTTTAAATTGGCCCAGTAGTTTTTGAGTCATCTCAATACATACAAAAATATAAATCTTTCCTTTTAATAATAAACGTAGACAAACACACATAAATGTAAACCATACATTGTGTGAAAATTAAACTTCTAACACGAGATATATGAATTTGATTTTTTTTAATTTCTATTGAATTTCCTTAAATTGATTGGTTTGTTTAATATGTTGCAACTTTTTTAAATTAAATTTATTTTAAAAGTCATGTCCTTGAGTGCGATCGTCGTATGTCGCGCGCAGCTAACTCGGCCACAAAGCCGTTTGCAGTGCCGAATGATAACTACCAGTGGACGATAACGAAGGCAATTGCCCGCTCGAGTGTTCATTACATAGTAACGCCTATTCATAACTTCTTTAACTAGCTATTTCTCGCGACTTCGTCCGCGTAAAATAAAATAATATAGCCTATGTTACTTACAGATAAATTACCTTTCTGACGGTGTAAGAATTTTTAAAATTGCCCCAGTAGTTTTTTAGTTTTATCAAAATATACAAAAAAATACAAATATTCCCTCTTTATAATGTTAGTGTAGATAATGAATTGTGTAGTGTATTATTACTTGTGCTTTACGAAGTGTTGAAAATCTATTAAATGTGTGTAAAATCAGTTCTGAACCGGTTTAAAATATCAGTATACGTATCTTTGAATCATTGAGCCGTGGCTCAACGCAATCAACTCACGCTAATCATAACTCTATGCAGATACAAATTGTACTGATCTGTAGCCGATTCGCTGATCTGTTACACTCATACGAATCGTGTGCTGATTTTCTGGTCATCAATTACCAGCGTTACCATATCTAATTTTGATTGATGGATTTTAAATTGATATCTAACATGTTCAAGTGTCACCGATAGATGGCGTTGTTTGTAACAACACATTTTTATATGAAAAATAGTTTCTGCTTACCATAATTACCAGCGTTATATATATTTTTTTTACTAGAAATGCTACTGAATATATAATGAAAACTGAAAGCTTTTAAATGAATAACCAAGGCTCTACTTATAATATTTTTATAAAAGGCACATATTTTATAATCGCCAATAGCCTAATGGTTTTGGGGTACGGACTACCGATCTTGTGGTCGAGGGTTCGAATCCCGGCATTCGACTATTGTCGTGAAACATATCTTAGCGTAAGCCTCAAGCTTAGTTGGAGTGATAAAAGGAAATACAGTAGAGCCTCGATAACTCAAACCTCGGTAACTTAAAAACCCCTATAACTTCAAAAAATAATATATTCCCTTCCCTTCAGAGCCCAAAACCTCTGCAACAAAGATTTGATAACTTAAAACCTCTATAACTTAAAATATTTTGTGTTTCTCTTGGACTTTAACTTATCCAGGTTCTACTGTATTTAAAAATGTAGTAAAAAAAATGTTTTTTATGTACTTGTAATTGCTTAAAAGTAAATAATTAATGGTAATAATTGGTTTTGTTCTCAGGCGAAGACACGGAAATGCTGGAAAAACCGCCACCGTAAGTGTAATTCCCCAATACATTTAAGACAAAATAATGTTATCCGGTTTTAATTTTATTAAAAACCTTGTTATTCTTATATCTAAACTAGTTTTCGCCTGCGACTCCGTCCGCGCGAAATTTTAAAAAAAGTTAGTAGCCTATTTGTTCAGAACTAGACTCCTCTACATTCATGACAAATTTCATCGAGATCCGTTCAGCCGTTTAGGCTACAAACTCTAACAAACATCCATCCATCCATCGTAACATTCGCATTTAAAATGTTTATATGATATACGTAGATGATGCGTAAACTAACTATTATAATTCATTAGTTAGATAGTCGATAGGGAACTTTGACAAAAGTTTATGAGTTTTCATATTAGATCTAGAAACACTTGTAAATATATTGTCGTCTCCTTCTCTCTCTATGTAAGAAACAGAGATAGCAATATGTTTAAATACACGGTTTTGGTAGTGAGTTCAATTATAAAATTCTAGAAATTAATCTTGAGTACCATGTCAATCTATACTAATATTATAAAGAGGAAATCTTTGTATTTTTGTATTTGTGTATGTATTGAAATAACTCAAAAACTACTGGGCTGATTTTAAAAATTCTTTCACCAGAAAGGTAATTAATTAAATAAAGGTTATCTGTGAAAAAAAGGGAGAACGTGATAGGTTATATTTGTAATTTCCCGCGGGCGAAGTCGCGAGCAACAGCTAGTATATCGTATTTGACAAATTGTATAATTTGTATTAGCGATAGCCATGTTTATTTTGTTTACATTAATATTTGTATACAAGCATTTTCAAATAACTACAATGTTACCGCAATGATAAAAATCTTACCCACTCTGTAGCTTGCATTTAAAAGTTTCCTTCATTCTCAATATTATGTAAGAAAATTAGGCAATTTCAATCTTAAGGTCTACCAAATAAGGTCTTATATCCTAATCGACAGTTATAGTTCATGTAATTTCTCAAGAGGCAGGCAAGGACCGAATAACTATTACAGCTTAATCATTATAGTGTTGTGTTGTGTAACGATTGATTTTTATCGATATTTTTTGGTTTAAAATATTAATGGCATTATTTTACCAAAATAATTTGCTCTTGGTGTGAAACTTAAGTTAAAAAAGTAAAGAAGTTTACAAACATACAAATACAGTAGAACCTCGATTACTCAAACCTCGGTAACTTAGAAACCTCTGTAACTTCAAAAAAATAATATGTTCCCTTTCGATCAGAGCCCAAAACCTCTACAACATAGACCCTTGATAACTTAAAACCTCTATAACTTAAAATATTTTGTGTTTCCCTTAGACTTTAACTTATCGAGGTTCTACTGTATTTTAATATTTTGTCTAAAATACTGTCATGATTTCCACTGGATTGTACCATTAAATTGTTATAAACAAAATAACACGATTGTTTACTTAAAGTAGTTACTTTATGGTACTAGTTTAGTAACGTTCTCAGTATAATTTTATCCAAGAATTGTTGTAAATTGCGCAATATATTTAATTTCATGTCACACGTCATCGCCTTGTTCAAATGTTAGGTATACCAATTTATCGATATCTCGCATTACGCACATCACTAACACTTTCATTCACCCACATAGTGCGGTACAGTCCAGTGCTGACGCGTGATTGCGCGGAATTGGTCGCGTTTCGAGCGCGTGTTTTCCATTCACAATTTCTCATTACGAAAGTTACGAACTAAACCGAACAATAATTGTGAGAGTGACTTGTGTACTTTAGTCTTTTTATTAGTTCTAATATTTTGATATATTAAGATTTGCGACCGTTTCACCAGGTTTTTATTTAATATTTTCGAATTAGAAAACTTTAAGTTTTCACTTAATAGTAACATTAAGTATATGTAACTAAGTTTACGTAGATCGTGATTAGTATAACAAATTACTTTTGAGTAAATATAAAAACATTAGGCTTGCAAACTTTGCACTCTTATTTAACGTGGGTTTACACAGAAGGGACACAGCAATATTTTTCACTAATGTTTCACCAGTGAATCCCACGCTTATTTCTACCCATTTGTGGACGTCTACTAATTTACTATTACATGTCCTTTAAATGTTGCTAAACTATTATATTAATAATACCTAGGGCCTGACCCACCAAATTTAAATTGTCTAATAACAATCGAATGTGTATGAAAATATTGGATTTTGTTCCCTTATCTGACAGTGACGTCATTTTTAAGCTATCTGAGCATCTATCAGCCAGTAGTGGGACAGGACCTTAAGCTTGGTGCCATATCACGGAATCGATCTCCCTATCGCCGTGCATACTGAAGTACGGCTTTTTGCCTATTTTTAAATAATTGTCAATGATACTTCTTATCGTGCTAGATTAGATGTTTTAAATTTTTAATAACGCAATCGTAATAATTAATTGGGTAGGGGGGGTGGGGGGGTTATTTAAACTCGCCCCTAGCGACGTCCATGCAAATAGCTATGAAACTTATCTATACCTCATTTATGAATTCCTTAGAATGATACGGATGTTAATTTGTTTTATACAAGTGTTTCAGCAGTGTAAACCAACGGTTATTATTTAACCGTTTTTGAGTTATTGAATTAAATATTTCGCGGTGACTTTTATGACAATGAAGGTGATGACTTATTACGTTTATATTACAAAGGTTGAACTAATATTTGTTTTAATCGTAAAATAGTAATAACTTGTTTTTTTTTGTATTTAAAATGAACTGGGGATCTTAGATCATTCGTCCTTTCTTTAGTACTGTATTTATAAAATTCTATTTTGGTACTTTTCTTAGAAGGATCGATGTTACTTAATGGTTTTGTTTCTGCATAAGGCAACAGTAGTTTGTTAGCTTAACATGTTCTCTGCCTTCTGGCTACCATTGGTAATTATTACTTGTAATATTGAAATGCAGAAAATATGTAAAACCTACATGGACATAGAGTAAGGGGGGGCTAGTGTGCTATAATCTAATTTCACTGATACCCAACATATAACTTGTCGATCTACAACAATCACAGACAGTTTTTACTGTGTCTGAATAGTAGATCACGTGCATCCGGCAAACAGACCTTGACTTTGTTTTATTTTGTTACTAAAACCTGCCTCTGTTCTGATTGATCTTTGACCCGTTGTTTGAAATTAACGTAGATTTAATTGTATTGACAATGTTTACTTTGTGATATAAACACGTCGTTGCCTTTGTGTCCTTCAGGCTAATATCATCATCAACTTGCCCTTGTACTTACTGAGGGCTGGCACAGTATGTGCTCCACTTCTATACATGTCTATCAGCCATCATATTTGTATTCTATCCCTTCTTAAACATATCGCGACGCTAATGCATTTCGATTATTTGTTGACCCTCAAAGAGATAATTTGTTTTAGAAAGGTCAAAAACAAATGAAGTTTGTTTTATAAACAAAACAACGCAGTGCCAATTGTTTTGAAGAATGCCAAATAAAACAATTGGTATCACATTGTTCTTGTAACGTTGTTTAGTTGTTTGTATGAAGAAAGTAGTCGGCCGTTTGTACAGATGTTCCTATAAACATTGTTAATATTGCAAGTGAGTTTTTGTTTGTTTTTTAATAAAGGCGTTTAACTAATTTTATGATCTATCTGTTTATATCTTTTTATATGAGGCTGACTCCAAATTGCATTAAAACTTTTTTCGACATTGACACGCTTCTCTATTGCGTGAATGCTATTCTAAAATAGTAGGGGCAGTAAACATTCATTGGTCAATGGAAATAGGGTCTTAGTGTCACGCACGTTACAGTCTTCTCACCTCCATTTTGGACTCCCCTAATCCAGGATGACGTACTCTAAGCTATGTCCATAATTGGGTCCTCTAAGCAATAAGTAGTAAAAGAAGGTAACTAAATTTCAGTTACCTTATCTAGTGTTATGTGAAATTTTAAACTCGTTACGAAGGATTAGTTATTTCTCCAACTTTTTAACAAATATAAATTTAAACTTCATACAAATGTAACGGAGTACTCCACTTCTATGTGTATTTTAATACGCAATTAGTAAAATCAAATAAATAAAGTACTAGATTGCTTCTAATAAAATCACTATCTCGAGTTTTATACCGTTTAGATATGAATCCTTATCAAATATAATCAATAAACAAGTATATTCCTTTTAAACATTCCTAGAATATATAAAACCATATAAATAAAGGCTATTCATTACTTTTACAACCGAAATAGTTTACACACAATAATTGTTATCAATACCAAATAGAATCATTGTAATCTAGATAAAAAAACATTATCAATGATAACCTTGGTGTTTCCGGTGTTACCTCCTTCTCTTAACATAAAAAAAACATATTGAATTGATAACCTCTTATTTAAAAAAAAAAACAATGGTACTCTATATCTATCTATACATATATTTAGAGTGTCTGTTTGTAATATCACAATAAAAATTCCAGATTTCGGGAAGATGAAGTATTTGCGTTAGACTAGTTAAGTTAGATAGATTGGCATATTTTTGACTATTTTTGACGGGGCACTTTTTGACCGACTTCCCAAAAGAAGGAGGTACTCAATTCGTCTGTGTTTTTTTTTATATTCCGCGCTGTCAAAATGGCGTAACGAGTCGTCCTTTGTGCTAACGAAGATTGCGGGAGACAGCTCGTAGAATAGTAAATAAAACCATAAACTTTCTATAAACGGTTGTACTTCTGGAGATTAACAAAATATTATAACTCTATGGTCTTATAAAAACATCCCCAAAGGATAAAGTTATGGCTACGATGAATCAAATGCCACTAATTGTTATATTATTATATCTGTACAATAGATATATGTTTTATAAACAATATTTAGATGTACGTAACTATGAATTGTCACAATGTACGAGTCATCGTCTAATAATATTGATTTAAATGATTCAGTCGTTAGTTGACAAGTCATGAGCAGAGCCCAGTATACTAAACATCAAAGAAAATCGCACGAAATATAAAACATATGAAAATAAATAAAGGTAATGAATTATTACTCATCAGATACTTAGAAGTTATACTGTAATCCAAACTCAATGGAATAAAAATAATAAATATAGTTTATGCTTCTCAATGTGTAGCGAAGCTTTTTAATGGTGAAAGACTTTGATATCGGTCCGGTATTCTAGTTATTTAAATACACACAAAAATACAAATCTTATCTGTTTATAATATTAGTATAGATAATGCTATTTTAGACGTTGTCCATTAATGTTGAACCTTGGTATACAAATCGCTTGACTTGACTTGAATATTATGTTCATGTAAAAAAGTTAAAGTATGCAGTTTATCATATCATACTTCACACTAATATTATAAATGCGAAAATTTAGATGGATGGATGGATGTTTGTTAGCGTTTGTAGCCTAAACGGCAGAACGAATCTCCATGAAATTTGGCACAGCTATAGAGCATCGTCTGGAAGAACACATAGACTACTTTTTATCCTGGGAATGGTTACGGTTCCCGTGGGATTCATTAATTTAGTTTTTTAATGTTTAGTCGATCATTCTTTAACGGTTCAACATATCTTATTAAAATTTGCCACAGATATAAAACAAAGTCTGGAGTACACATGAGATAAGGTTTATCCCCGACAAATGTCTGGTTCCCGTGGGATACGTAGCTTTTTGGTTTTTATATAGTTCGTATGTTTTCTAATACCACGCGGACGAAGTCGCGGGTAACAGCTAGTTCAATTATAATTGTGCAGTTAAAACTGAAGGTATATATCAAGCTTATAGGCAATGCCATCGTAATGCAAGGGTTTTTATTTTCGAAGGCCTCCAAATGCCCATGCAATAATTAACAATCTATATATGGTCGTAATAATATAAAGAGGAAAATTAATGAATTTAACATTGAGGAAATTAAATGAATTTGACCCTGACTGTATAGTTTGATATTAACTGAATGCGCTTCGATTCGACCTCACACCTTTGGAATTAATTTTTAATTGTATTCCATTCCTTTATGCATTACGATGCAAACATCGTAATATTAACCTTTTATACATCTATACTAATATTATGAAGAGGAAAGATTTGTTTGTTTGCATAGGCGCCAAAACTGAACCGATTTTTTTCGCTGTCTTCGGTGACATGGCTATATAATATTGATAGATTTTTTTAATTCTGTTCGGACAAAGCCATGATCAAAAATTAGTTTTTTTATTGAAATATTATTGTCATTAGATAATATTGTTGTTTTAGAAAGTAATTACATATAGTCATAGTTGCTCAAACTGTTTTCACGTAAATTTTACTGGTTTTAACAAACCTTGCTACATTTATTAAGCTTGTAACACGGGTCACACATTTTTTTGGAACTGCGCGAATTAATTACATAAAAAAGATATAATTTTGTACTCTAGTGTGTTCGTTGATTGGCTCTTGTTGCGTAGTGTCTGCGCCGGCGTAACTTTCACTTCGTTTCCGATGTTTATCGCTCGACGCGTTTTATAGAACTCTACCATTTTTTTAGATCAATCGAAATATTTTGCAATGTCACTTTCTTTTTACTAGCAATAGTATTCTGAGCCTTTTATTTAGTTTTTGAAAATGTTATTGTTTTTTTTAATATTTATTAATATTAATAATTATAAAGCTTTTAAAGATGAAAATGAAATGAAAAAAGACGAGAAAATTAAAAAAAAACACACACACACACACACTTATAACCCAAAGGAGTAAGCAGACTTCGACACACGTATACAATCACGTCGGTTTCAAATCTTACTAATATTATAAATGCGAAAGTTTAGATAGAGTTTGTAGCCAGAAGTGCTAAACGGATCTCGACGAAATTTGGCATAGATGTAGAGGAAAGTCTGGAAGAACAGATAAGCTAGTTCTATTATTTTATTTTAATTCCACGTAGACGGAGTCGCGGGCGAAAGTTAGTGTTTAATGAAATAAAACAAAAAATCTGTCAATTTATCTTTCGACTATATCAACAATTTGACTACGACACAGATATCTTACTCTAATCATGTGGCTTGTTTTATCTAGTGTAGTGCGCACTATTACATGCCACTGGTGCCGTGCGCGTTGAAGCAATTAGCTATAATGACAGGTTGCGCACGGCTTGATACTAAAATCCTTATATGTTATGTACAACATCAGTGCGAATTAGTGCTGTGTGAGAATAGTAATAAATCTACGTGTTATATGTTAAGGTGTTGTGTAGTGCTATTCTTTACTAGTATTGCATCTTTCATTTGTTAGGAATACGTAGTGGGATTAGGGTACGTAGTAACGTCGCCTTTAGTAGCCGATTTCTCTTTAGAATTGGCATTTAAGCCTTTTTAATTCATTTGTTTTTACCAAATGGTACGGTCAAAGTAGAATAAAATTGATTCTTTCGTATAATTAATTTAATTCTTTGTATTATTTAGACTAGCTATACTTGATAACGCTCCACCCATATTTACCACTTTGGTTGTGTTTTGTTTGTGTAGATTGTAGATAAGCGCGTGTTCATAACAATCATACTAATATTATAAATGCGAAAGTTTAGATGGATGGATGTTTGTAAGATTTTGTAGCCTTAACGGCTGAACGGATTTCGATGTAATTTGGCACAGATGTAGAGGATAGCCTGGAAGAATACATAGGCTATTCACTTTTATTTTGTTTAATTGCACGTGAACGGAGTCGCGGGCGAAAGCTTGTTATACTATAATGATGGTTTACACTGCTTAAATATTGGTTCATTAACCGTAAGCTTTCACTGTTAATGTAGACTTTTAGTACAAAAACATTGTCATCTCATGACGTTGAAAAACAGATACGGAAATGATTTATTTTTGTGCAAATTTTGTAGTGAATCACACTAAGAAGTTATCGGTTTTAGTTTGAGTCCGTGATTACACTTTGTAATTTTTTTTTCAAGTTTTATCATAGCCTATTATCATTACGATCGTAGTCAACTATAGTTAGATTACAGAGTAATTCTGAATTCCATTTCATAATTATTATTGTTTTTTTTTACAAGGCTTTGTCGCGAAGTGACGATAACGCCCAATAAGTCTAAGGGCCTGTCGCACTATTGGCTGATAGAGGGTCAGGTAGCATAACAATGATGTCACTGTCAGATAAGAGAACAAAATCCGATATTTCCGTCATATAATTTACTCATTGGATTGTTATCGGACAGTTTAAAATTTGGTGGGACAGGCCCTAAAACTAACACAACTCAGTTATCTACTTTCTTAAACAGATATCAGCCAACTTAAACACCATCCCTGACTCGTCCGTAAAAGGTAAGCCAGGATAGTGTTTAAGTGACCGACATCGTAATTATTAAAAAGCAGCTTTGATAATCTTAATTTGTGATGTGTGATGATTCAGGTTACAATTTAATATTAAAGTCAAGTAATATACATTAGTGATAAAGTGTGTGACAATGCAATAGTGAACAGTTCAGTCAGGATGCTGTCCAGGGGTATTAAATACAAACGACTCGATGATATCGAGATCAGGTGAGTTTATGCGATTAAATATGTACTTTATGAAATTAAAACGTACAAAAGTTACAATTTTTTAAAAGAAATATTTTTTTGGGAATCTGCAAGCCACATATAAAGGGACAGAGTAGTCACTAAAGGGTTATAATTGTTGGATTTCCCCTCAGTTTACGGACCTACGGCGAAAATTTGCGAGAAAATGTTCATTAGATTTGTCATTATACAGTTGCCCTTATCCCTTACGGAGGGAAGGCACAGTATGTGCTCTTCCATGCATCTCTATCAGTCGTTATAATTGACACCACTCCCGTTCACACAATCCATCCATACTTTCTTCGGTCGTCCTCTACCATGGTAGCCATCCACATTCAATCTTAACACTTTCTGGTTTATGTCCCCATCGTGTCGCTACGTCCATACGACTATGTACGACATACGACATACGACATACGGCTAGGTCCATACGACGCTAACGTTTTGTTTCTCAATTTGTATTAGATTTGTTTCAAAGGATCCGAACATCAATTAGATTGATAGTAGATACTTTCAAAGCACATTATCTTAATATGTATCTTAACATATGTAATCTTACTTATCTGTTTCGCTTTCTCTTTCTCTCTACAAGATGTAATAAACTGATTGTATGCAACATAACATGTATATCTATTAAATATTTAGGGTATTCATTAATCATACTTCATACTATCTTACTAATATTTTAAATGCGAAAGTTTAGATGGATGGATGGATGTTTGTTAGAGTTTGTAGCCTAAACGGCTGAACGGATCTCGATAAAATTTGGTATAGATGTAGAGGATAGTCTGGTAGAACACATAGGCTACTAACTAGTAATGTACATAAATTAAAAAATAAAGAAACAGTCTCTGTGGGTTTGTACCCTACACTTATATTAATCTATTGTCGGTCGCACATCTCTTTAAGATATCTATAATTATACCACTTTGGTAATATTTAAGATAAAATCACAAGCACAAATAACAACGTTCATCAGTCCATTTATGAAGGTTAGTTGTAGAAAGTTATAGGTCAGTGTAGAATAAAGTTAGGTTATGTGGATTCCAAAACATAAATAAAATAATTAGTAGTTTGCCGATACTTATAAAAGTTTGTATTGTTATCCCTCTCGTTTTCGGTTGTGAAAAGAGACATGTGTAATGGTTATGCAGTGGGAACAACTTACGGCAACTTTACAGGGTACATGTTACCGTTGGTTGCGGTTTTAACTTCCTTTGCGGAAATATTGATATGGTTCATGTGCCTGTTACAATAGAGTTATTTATGTTTTTGTATAATATTGAATTTGTATTTTTTATGAATTTTTCGTTATTTTGTGTATTCTCTATCTTTATAGGGTAGAAACAATAATACGATATCTTATCCTGCTCTATATCGAACATATCTATGAAGGACGGGAGTTGTGGACATGGTTATGCGACTAATCTAGGGCTGCCAACGTTTTAATAAACGTAGATTTAAAAAAAAGACTTTGAGTGAAACCTGTGACCTCTTGAGACTTTGTAAAGGATTAAATCACTGAACCGTAGTCATATGCAGCCTATTACCTGAATATGCTTTACAAAAGCGGAGAGGTGACAGCCCTAGTGGTAACAATCGTGATATAGATAACTAATATCTTATCAACTGTAATGTATTGAAAGTATCTAGAATCTTTAGAAAAATAAGCTGAAAAATGAGGACGCATACTCGCTTATTTATTGCATTTTACGGTCGGATTTAGAACGGGCGCACATCTTTGACTAAACAACAGTGTGCGATTGTCGATTGTTTTGCAGCCAATTCAACTGTTTAGTTGCACAACTAAATCGAGTAGTGTGCGCACCTCCATTTAAGCTTATAGGAATTAAAGCGAGACTTAATAGTTTTGCGATAGTTTAGTTAAGGTGTGCATACGCTTTTAGCGAGTAAGAAAATGTAGATTTAAGGGCTGTGCCGTATCAATGGTATTGTATGTATGTACATGTATGTATGGATGTATGGATGAAGTTGCGCCGCACATTAACTGTGTAACTGATTTTAGTAGTTTAGGATGACATAAATTATATCGCTAGTAGATTTTACAACCATTTTTGCTGTTATTTACAAATACACTTATTTGATAATTGTAATTCAAATAAATTATGGATGAAAGCTTCATCTATTTCAGCAAATAGAAGAATTTATTATAATATGCGGTGAAATATTGACGTAAAACTTGTCTGCGAGTGGGAGTGATCGGAGTCCGGGAATTTAATGAAAAATTCCTTACGTTGTTCCCGGGCGTAGGTTTATATCTAGGGTTGTCATTTAAGTTTGACATTCGTAAAAATTTACTTTTATAGAGACAACCCCATACAGGTTGTTAATATCAATTTGTTAAACATGAATTCGACTGTAGTTCTTTGACTTCAACTTCTCGACCTAACTTAAATTTAAATTAGAAAATGACTTGCTAATCTGTATAGAAACTAAAAAATGCTGCATGTTTTGTTTTTTTTTAAATGTTCATCAGCAATCGAAGATCATGGTAATTTTTATAAGAAAATAATTACTTTTATTTTATTACGATTTGTGTCAACCTTACATTTGTGTGAAGGAATTAGCCGTTATTAGATATGTAATTTCTTCTAGTAAAGTAAAATTTTAGTTCAATTCTATGTATTCCGGTTATTTCGCAAGTTATATCAGTACCACATACTCCACATTTATGAGACAGTTACATAATTTTCGAGCAATGCCATGAACCGGACGCAGCGAAAGGCAAAGCCTTGGACCGAATGTACCAGTGCACTAGTTATAGTAAACGTATGTTATGATTTTAATGGAGTCCGCACTGGAGAAACATTTTTTTTTTTTTAAGAAATGGGAGGAAACGAGCAGTGGGAACACAGAGATCAACGATGCCCATAGACCTCCGCAACACCAGAGGAACTAAAGATGCATTGCCGGTCGTGACGAAATGGTAGGCTCGTCCCTTGAATGATCCTATGTGATCATTGTGACAATTTATTCTACATTGTTCGGTGTGCTTAGTAATCTTTTAAATATGCATTGCATACCCCACTCTGCATTTAAATGTTCTGTGTCGAAGCATATACAAGGATAAACGAAGGAGGAAAAAATGTTGATTACATTATTGGGTCGAACCAATAAACGAAAGAACTGCTAGTATCGGATTTCAATGCGACCCTATTTGTTAATTCAAAAATAAAAAAAATCTTATTGATTGTAGAATTGAGAAGAATACGATTCGAATTTTCGGTTCAACATCGATTTATATTTGAAATACAAACGAGCAAAATAACCCGCCTTTCTTAGTAACTATTTAAAGAGCGTCGGAATGCAAGAATAATAGTGACGTTCCACATGGTCAATACCTGAACGTTCGAGGTATCGATACAATAGTTCGTTGGAACGCAGTATTGCGGAAACTTGGATAATCGACATTGTTGGGTAATGTTACTCAAGGCGGCGTTCGCTTTATAATCTGTATTACGATAGGAAACGCAATATTGTTATGCGTATCTATTTGTAACAAGTTTATTAAGAAAACAATGATCACGATATATAAACATTTTATAACCTCAACGTTATATTACTTTTTATTATTTAAAAACCCATTAATTCTTAGAAACGTGACCGTAAATGTAAACCAATAGTAATGGTACCTACTTATCCCAGATATAAAATGTCTGCGTCACTCGCGTTTGTTAAACAATGGAGGGAAAATTTTGGCGCGCAAAATGGCGGCGTATACTAACATTAGAGTACTTTCCTCGTGATGAAATGATGCTGCGGCCTTTATCAATATGATGTGATAATCATACTTTCTACTAATATTATAAATTTAAATGGATGTATGGATGGATGTTTGTTAGAGTTTGTAGCTTAAACTGCCGAACATATCTCAATGAAATTTAACATAAATATAGAGGATAGACTGGAAGAACATATAGGCTACTTATTTTTGTTTTTTTTTTAAATCCGACTCGGAGTCGCGGGCGAAAGCTAGTAAATAATATCGGAACCAATTGTTCAACCAAAACATCAAGAATGTCAATGGAAGTGAGAACTGACCTTTTGCTATTCAATTCCTTTAAATGTTTGTTTTTTAGGGATTTTAATTATACATTAATCATTGTATTTATTTTAATCGACTTGTGCGTAACCATTTCATTTTATAATCCATTTCTAAACCTTTATGTTTAGCTCCTTCGATATTTGTTTGATAAATATTATTTAGAAACATTTCATAATTGTACTATAAATCATTCTATATTTATGTTTACATAAATAATACATTCTTGAAGGGAGAGTAATGTTATAAATATGCAAACTTTAATAATATTGTGAAAGAGACAACATGATAAATTCGAATTTTTAAAAGAAGTTTAAGATGAAAACTAAAAAAATAAACGACTGTTGAAATAAGAAAGGCTGGAGCCTTTAATCGACATGCTATATGTGACAAAGAGTATAAAACTTTTCCTATGCAGAGAGGACAATAGAAAGATTTGATAAATGAAATGGTCTTGAAACAATAGGAAAGTTACCATGGGAATACTTTTGAAACCCAAACACAGAAAGCTTTCACAAGAACAGTTTTTAATATGTCTACTGGGACAAGTATTTAAGTTTTTGCATTGTATATTGTTCCTAATCGAGTTCCTACGGATTTGTCGAGGTGAGAATACTTGGAACTACATGTTATGTGGACAAGGAAAGTTTACAATAAGTTTAGCAAACACTATTATGCAGACAATGACCTAGTCATTATTTAATCTTCGCAGAATGTATAGTTTAATAACATATTGACGTCTGCGGCGGCCATGTTGGATATTTGCGCGCCCTTTTGTTGCTGCTGGGATAAGTCAAAGCCAATCATTATTCCATTGTCGCTGGCAGGTTGAAGTTGTTATAATAGTGTTGGTGGTTAATAGGAAATTATTGTAATTATTAAATATAATTGATTTATAATCTGTGACTGAATTTTTTAGTGACTTGAAGATTAAGCGTATTATTTAAATTTTTATTGGTAATTTATAATTTAATTTGGTTACTTTAATTTATTATTAGCGTTATATTGGAGTTTAAATTAACAGTTAAGTGTAAACATTATTTTGTGTGTAGGTACTTAATTCCATATCATGTTAATCTTTGGTTTAATTGCACTTTTAAATTATTTACAATTACTTTTCCTCTATTTTCACTTATTTGGTGTATTATTATTAAATCTTCAAACATTCTACCACCTTTTTCTTTTTCGCGTTCTTTTGTAAATTTCTATTTGGAAACTAAACTTTGCTTAAGGTTTCTCCCTTTTATTTTTTCTCATTTACTTAGGGATTAATTGCAAAGATAAGCTCTAGATGAATACTTATGCATCTATGAAAGCTTGCAACTCGATTGTTGAAAAACGGAAACCAATAGTACTTCCTCCTAATTGCACAAATACAAAAAATTATAAGGATAGATATGTGGATATTAGTTACAAGGTATATCCAGAACGGCTCAACGACTGTCAATAAATGGCACAGATGTAGAACATCTGATAGAACTCATAGGGTATTTACCAAGTGTTTTTCCACGCGGACGGCGTCGGCAAAAGCTTGTATTCAATGACAAGTTTAACTGATCCTTTAATATACGTCATATTCCAAATGTTGTAACAACTGGCTTCGTTTAAGCGATATCTGATCCGATAAATTATATCCGATTCATGTAATAAAGGCACAATTTTCTCTAATCTCACCATTCAAGGAGCAACCATTCAAACACCGAGTTGGCTTGTCAATTATTATTAGTATGAGTAATAGATGCGTTGTCATGTTGATGCCTTTTGTTTATGTTTTAAGAAAATGTAACACTATTGGTTACTGATACGTAGTTATACTCTTTTAATCTGCTAAAAGAAGAAAGAAAGGCGTGAAGCGGAAGCAATTTTACACCTCATCCGATGTGTGTGCGCTCCGTCCACAATCTGTTTCTGTCCTTTTCTTACGAGAAAGGGGAAGTGGATTTGTCGGAGGTGGAGACGCATAAGACGACAAAAAAAAATACAGACAAATTGAGTACCTCCTTCTTTTGGGAAGTCGGTCGAAAAATCCCCTTTCTGTGCGTCCTCCCCTCTGTCTATTAAAAGGGTAACGCAACGCGTCTGCTTATCCGAATGTCATGGACAGCGCTCACCCCGAAATTTCGCCTGCCACATCATACTAATATTATGAAAATATTATAAAAGCGAAAGTTTAGATGGATGGATGGATATGTTTGTTAGAGTTTGTAGCCTAAACGGCTGAACGGATTTCGATAAAATTCGGCATAGACGTAGAGGATGGTCTGGAAGAACATATAGGCTACTCAGGTTTGTTTTTTTGTTTAATTTCACGCGGACGGAGTCGCGGGCGAAAGCTAGTTATGATATAAAAATGTACAATATGTACAATGGTCGATCATGCAGAAGTTGTTCATGGCTAAATAGTAATTGATGTTTAAACGCTAACGAGTCGACAGGCATTTAAAATTACTACATTGAATGGTACATATGCACCGAAGTTAAATTAAAGTTAAGGTTTTATGGCGTTAAATAGCTTTAAAATGTCAAAAAAAAACTACAAAGTACCTATACTAAAAACGTGATTCATTTGTAAAAAAAATTGTGATAAAAGTGATAATAATGTTACTAGGCTTTTTCCGTACTCAGAGTCAATATTTGGTCACTGAGGGAGACACTTATTCTCGTACTTACGTCACTAATATCCACTCCAATTGATCTTAATACTGAGTGTTGAGTTAAATAGTAATTATTTTATTAATAGACGTCTAAAAGTTAATTAGAATGTCGTCAACACTATGAGTTATCTGTAGATGTCACACGGCACTATGGTGTTAAACATTCAGCGCTGCAGCGCTTCGTCTCTACAATAATAATAGACGTTTGTATATTGGCAAGCGCTGGATCGCTGCGTGCTGCTAAACTTTGCACTCGGCACAGGAAACTTACACGTTCGGAAATATTACGCGTTTGAATATTTAGTTACTTGAGCGACGTCCGGTTGCAGGTTTTTTTCTTTACTTTAGTGTCGTTATTTGTTATACTGCCAGTATTTAAAAGATAAGAAGTACACTGTAAGTAGTATTAATTGAATAGATATTTTTTAATACGGATGTGTTCGTAATAAAAAAGATGTTATACGGTTAAATGGTTTTCGCGCGTTTTTTATGAGGAAAATTATGTACTCTTAAAAAGTTTTCTTGCTTACCAAGTTTCTACTGAGATTATGTTTGAAGTTACAGTTATACTCTTAAAATAAGGACCCTAAAGCAGTAAAATCGGCCATTAGATTCAATATCGGACCGTTATTATTACCGTTAAAGAATTTGCATTCATATAAAATTTGAATGTACTTTATTGCAAATGATTTTATTCCTGTAATGGGATAAAAAACGGTTAAATGTATATTTTAACCTCAATTGGATCTTTATTTTGGATTTTATTGGATTGACTTTTTAATGTTGTGCCAACTAAGGTTGTCACTTCGAAGTTTTGACGTCGTGTTTGCTAATTCGTGTTGTTTGTCATTGAATTCTTTGGGTGAATGTGAGTGGTGGGAATAAGTCGGATGTGAGAAAATTAAGATAATTACACTGTCTACCAAGTTAAGGGTTGACAAAACTCTACAAGACGTTTGTTTTTGTCTCCAATTTTCGATTTTAAGTTGGCAACCCTAGTGTTAACCATATTTTTAGTTTTGTTATAAACATTGGCACGTATTTTTTAAATGAACGTTAAGATTGCTCAACTTATTGTAACGTGTGAAAATGCTACAATAGCGCAAATTAAGCAATAAGCTATTGTTTTTATATCTTACATTTTTAGTATTGCATTTTTATTATTATAAACAAAACGGGTTTTTAATAGTTGGGTCTAAATAATTGTACATTTGGAAACTTGTAGTAAAATATTCTTGTAACTATATATATATATAGTTACAAGAATATAACTATATAATACTAAACTATAACATAAACTTTCTCTATATCAAATTTAACTTGGGGTCATGAGATAACGCTTTAATATTTATACATTTTTATCAAATATAGATAAGCTAGTAAGCACCGCTTACGACATCGAGTTTAACTGATAATCTCAACTTTGGGTAACCTAACCATATTATGGGCCTGTCCCACCACTGATAGAGGCTCAAATAGAAAATGACGTTACTGTCAGATAAGAGAACTAACTTCGATATTTCCATCACATACTTTACACCTTGAATTGCTATCAGATAATTTACAATTTTGGTGTGACAGGCCCATGTGTTTGGCTTCGAGTTTGTTATTGAGTCACTGTACAACTCTACCTTCACTTGTGAAATGTAATTGACCGATTTCCCAAAAGAAGGAGGAACTCAATTCGTCTGTATTTTTTGTTAATATCCTGTAATCCCTTCTTGCAATGTTTTTTCACGTTACTTCATCAGTATTACATATTCCCGAGGTGCTTAAACTCTCCTTATATTAAGGGTGGTGTTAGGCTTTAAACGACCACGATGACCCAATGTTGGTTTACTCATTTTAATAATGTTAAAAATGCGAAAGTGTAGATGGATCGATGGTTTAATGAATGTATGTTAGTGTTTGTACCCTAAACTGCTTAACAGATCTCGATGGAATTTGGCATAGATGTAGATGATCGTCTGGAAGAACGCATAGGCTATTTATGTCTCTACATAACAATTAAACTTTTTTTCATACAGAAGCTAATCATTTTTTTCATGTTGTTCACAGCGAGCCGGGACAGGAGCTGGTGGCGGTGCGCGTGGCCATCAATGGCATGACCTGTCAGTCCTGCGTGCGCAGCATCGAGACCTCCGTAAGAGAACTGCCCGGCGTTGAGGACGCGAAGGTAATATTCAAACTTTGCATACTTTTGACAAGTTGTGAATTGCTTCGAGCATGTAGTTCGCGACTTTACTTGCAAGTACGTCCGATATTTACTTGGTCTTGTGTCAGGTGGAACTGTCAGAACACGCCGGTTACTTCCGCTATGACCCTCACGTGTGCTCGCTGGAGGCGATCCGCTCCCACATAGAGGAAATGGGGTTCGAGGCGCCAACCGACGTCGTCGACGACGAAACTAAGTACGTTAACATTTTTATTACCAAGTCAGTTAGTAAATATACTACAAAAATGGTGAATTGAAATGACTGAATAGCTGTAACGTTCTTTTTAGAAATCTGTTACCAAAAGAGATCCCGACGGATGTGTTGATAGACATGTCGGGGTCCGCGGAGAGCGACCTCGTGCTGTCCGTCGTCGGGATGACCTGCCAGTCCTGCGTCAACACTATAGAAGGTACGAAACATATCTAAATGCTGTAGTGTTGAAATAGCCAGTATCGAAATAGTACCTTAGCGTTTCACAAGATGGCACTATTATCAATTTCTTTAAACGATTGGTTCAGGAATTATTTTTTAAAGCCTTCCGAATTTAGTATTACTGGCTTTTTGTTCGCAGCGAAGCACATAATTAGTAAACAGAGTCGATGTGTTTGCGTCTGTTCATGGAATATTAGGAGCATGTAATTGATGCCGCGCTGCAATTACACGGTCATCGTGTTTTGTTTCTTACATACAAATGTTATTTATTTTTTCTAATTTGTGGCCTGATCTGCTTTTTGGTCGCCTTTAGTATTCGAATTTTATAAGTTTAAAAGTCGGTCTAATAGTCTATACTATTAGAGTAGATTAATCGAGTCGATATAAATGTTTAAATTTTTTTATGCTGAATTCTTCTTCTTCTTTATAGTTCAACAATAAAAAGTTAATTCATGTGTTATAGGTCGTCTACACGAGATGTCGGGAGTGCGGCAGGCGTGCGTGTCTCTCGCGGAAGGCGTGGCGCGCGTGCGTGTGCTGCGTGACGTCATCACACCGCAAGATGTCTCCGACGCGATATACGACCTGGGCTTTGACGTCACTATACTCACAGTCAATGGTCAATCTTACTCAGGTATAATTTTCACTATCATCACCAATGTATTGTGTACTTTTTCTTTATATCATAAATGCTTTAATTGTTAATCAAATGTTACAGAATCATCGTCACAAAGTAATAGTAACGAGGCATCAGGGGATGCGGTTAGACCGAATAATGTCTCAAAGACACATCTCAATGTATGTATACAGTTTACTATACTTTATCATACAATCTTACTAATTACTACCGTTTCTTTAATTCTACACGGACGGTGTCGCGTGCGAAAGCTAGTATAGGTATACTTTATTTCAATAAAGAATGTGTTGTGACCTCAGTTTTGATTTTTTGCTATATTTTGTGTAGGGCGATGTAGGCGAGGCAGGTATGGCGGAGCAGACGTCCCGTTGTACGTTAGAGGTGCGCGGGATGACGTGCGCTTCTTGCGTCGCCGCTATAGAGAAACATTGCTCTAAGATATATGGTAAGTATATCTTATAATACATCATCCTTCTCCTTATTCCTCTCCCGTAGTGGCGCTAGAGGTTTTTGTCCTCCACATAACTCCTATCATACGTAATCTCAGTCATCACTCCCTTTATGATGTCACTTTTAACGCAATCCATCCATCTCTTTATACCTCTACCCCTACTGGTGTACCCTTTCACACTCATAACTAACGTCAATACATTTTTTTTGTTATTAATCATTTCCAATTAGTCGAAGTTTTGTCTAAAAAAATAATTGTATAATGTTGTTTCCATAGGTGTACAATCAGTAGTGATAGCTCTGTTAGCCGCTAAAGCGGAGGTGCGGTATGAACCGCGGAAGGTGTCGGCACCTGACATCGCGCAGTCCATCACCGCGCTCGGCTTCCCCGCAGACGTGCTCAGTGATGGCGACGGCTGCGGACAGAGGGAGCTACTGTTAAATGTATGTATTCCGATTGTGTAAATATGACTCAGTGTATACCGACTGTGTACAAAAATGACTCTGTATACACCGACTGTGTACAGATATGACTCAATGTATACCGACTGTGTACAAATATGACTCAATGTATACCGACTGTGTACAAAAATGACTCAGTATATTATGTACAAATTAGGTGCATATTTTAACCGTGTAGAATATCACTATGAATTCTGTGTACAAAAGTTTTATTTTTGTAAATTTCTTGTATATTGTTCTCAGATAAAAGGCATGACGTGTGCGTCGTGTGTCAGCAAAATTGAAAAGACTGTACTTAAATTAAGCGGCGTAGCGTCCTGCGCTGTTGCCCTGACTACCTCCAAGTTAGTACTATTTAGTATTATGTGCTTCACTTAACGTATAGTTATTGCCAAGAAATTAGGTTCAAAATTCTTCATTTCGCCCTGTATACAAGATTTTTAACTCTTTCGTCTTTTTCAGAGGAAAAATTAAATACGACACAGAAATGATCGGACCACGTACGATATGCGAAGCTATCAATAGTTTAGGATTCGAAGCGACCGTCGCCAGTACTAACAGCCGCGGCGCTACTGATTATCTAGAGCATAAGTAAGTTATATTGCCACATTTACACACCACAGTCAGTGTTACACAATGCACTTAAGTTTACCCACTACGTTAACGTTTACACACTAATTACGTTTACACAATACATTCATGTTTACACATTACAATCACATTTACACACTTCACAGTAACAATTGTACATTTCACACAATCACGTTTACACACTTCGCGCAATCTGCATTACATACTTCAGATACAATAAATGATTGGAGAAAACAGTTTACCTATATTTATTTGCAATATTTGATGTTGTTTTCAGAGAAGAAATAAGAAAATGGCGTAACGCGTTCCTAATATCGTTAGTATTCGGTGGTCCGTGTATGATAGCGATGACGTACTTCATGGCGACGATGCCGCAGCACAGCGCGCGCGACATGTGCTGCGTGCTGCCCGGCCTCAGCATGGAGAACCTCATCATGATGTTGTTGGCTACGCCAGTACAGGTACGTGACGCCAACTTGGCTACGCCAGTACAGGTACGTGACGCCAACTTTGCTACGCCAGTACAGGTACGTGACGCCAACTTGGCGTTTCAGGAACTTGTTGAAGTAAACTTTGATTCTTTTGTAAGGGAAGGATAGGAAGGGACGAGGATTTGCGGTTGTTCTGTTCTCCTTTCGGCGAATAGACTTGGCTGCTTGCTCGTTTGTCAACTTAGCATAATAAAAAAAATATAAATGTGTAATATAAGTCACCTTGGAGAAAGTATTCGATTATTTATTTATGTGATTGAAATATCAATAATGTATGGAACTGTTAATAATTCCATTACTTGTAACGTATTTATTGCTACAATTTGATATAATTTATAGATTCTATTATAACTAATCGAAAGTTACTTTTGCTGCAGTAGTGTGTAATTTTTTTTTATAGTTTATCGGCGGCTGGCATTTCTACAAGCAGGCGTACAAGGCGCTGCGTCACGGCAGCCCCAATATGGATGTACTGATCTCAATGACTACAACTATAAGGTGAGTTACACACAATTGTGTAATTATTTTCTTATTTTTTACACTTTCATGACTTAGGTTGGGTTTACACTGTGTATTGATTTAAAAAAAAACCTTTTTATCGACATCCAAAAAAATATACAGCGTTACACAAAATAACATTTATGAAAATAAATAACAAATGGCAAAAGGAGGAGGTTCAGCTTAACCGAGAGTTGAGATCCAGCGTCGGCTTTTCAGCCATCCCCCCCTTCCCAAGATGTAAAAGGGAGATGGGAAAATATGTTTTATAGTTACTTTTAATTTTTTGAATGATGATGGGTTATGACTTTGTTCACAGTTACTTCTACTCCCTGGCGGTGGTGATAGCATCAATGTCACTACAGAAGGATACAAGCCCTTTGACGTTCTTTGACACCCCTCCAATGTTGCTGGTCTTCGTGTCCTTAGGAAGGTGGCTGGAGAATATTGCTAAAGTATGATAGATTTTATTATCTCTTTTAGTTAGATAGTAGCGAATAACTGAAATACTGATTTTTTGGTGTTAGTGAGAAATAATTGAAAAATTAAATATGAAACTTAACTTGTTGTTTTACAATAATTAATTTCAGTTTCCAATATATTTGACATTATCTAAGTAAGCATTATTGTAAACTAGCTGTTACTCGCGACTTCGCCCGCGCGAAATAAAAAAATATAGCCTACATACTCACCGACAACATAGCCTGTTAATGGTGAAAGAATTTTTTAAATCAAACAAATGCAAATCATTCATCTTCGTAATATGATTATAATTATTTTCAATTAAATATGAAAATGTTGATGTTTTTTAAAGATTTATTTCAATAAATGTTTTCAATTTGCAATATGAAATAATGTAAATTAATATTTATTGTAAATTATTGTAAATTAATGTTTCGAGTACGTTAGGATTTGAGTGTTTAATTTTTTTTGTTTTTTTTTTAAGGGTAAAACATCAGAAGCGCTGTCGAAGCTGCTGTCGCTGAAGGCGACGGAGGCGGTGCTGGTGACGGTGGACCGAGACGGCAACGAGCTCGCTGAGAAGAATATACCAATTGACCTGGTCGAGAGGGGGGATATACTTAAAGTTAGTTTACTTGGAATTTGGTCATTTATTTAAACCCAGTATTTATAGTACTCTTCTGTTCTTTTTTTTTTAAATAACGGTATACAACTTACAACTAGCTTTCGCCTGCGACTCCGTCCGCGTGGAATGAAAACAAACAAAAGTAGTCTGGGGAACACATAGGTTTCTTCCAGACTATCCTCTACATTTATGATAATCCAACAAAATCAGTTCAGAAGTTTATTCTACAAACTTTAAGAAACATCCATCCATCCATCTAAACTTTTATAATATTAGTATGGTTTGTAAAGCTTAAATCGATTTAAATGTTATTTTTTTTAATTATATTTCTCATTTATAATATCTGATTTTTATGAACGTTATTTATTGGACGTTTTATAATGTAATTTGGACTTGACTCAGGTGGTGCCAGGAGCCAAGGTGCCGGTAGACGGCAAGGTGATATCAGGGCAGAGTACGTGTGATGAGTCTCTCATCACCGGAGAGTCGATGCCGGTAGCGAAGAGTAAAGGTAACTTTTATATTTATTAGCCATTTTAATGTTATCGGTTCAAGGTCATTTGCGTGTCCGCAATATCCCGCTGTACATTTCTCCAACATTGTACGTGTTTTTGCATACCATAACATAAAGACCAGAGAGTGTTAAGATTGAATGTGGTTAGCTACAAAGGTAGAGGAAGACCAAAGAAAGTATGGATGGATTGTGTGAAAGAGGATATTCTTAAGAAAGGAGTGGAATCACATGACGGCTGATAGAGATGTTAGAAGAGCAGCACATACTGTGCCGACCCTCTGTAAGGGATAAGGGCAAGTTGATAATGATGTTCGTGTTTTTCCATTTATCTGAAAATAGCTTTCTACAATTTACTCTCGTGTTATTAAAAAAATATAAACGAGTAAAGTAATTTTCATCAAAGGCATTGTAGTTACTCTGGTTTTGGTGATGACCATAGACATCGGGAGTTGTGTTGCTTTGCTTGTGTTACTCGATTATCTAATACTGAACAATCTTTTCGAATCGGTCCAGTAGTTTTTGAGTTTGTTCTTTACAAAAGAGATTCAAATATATAAAGGAGGTATTGGCAGCACTTAACTTGAAACATTCATCACATAATTACTAACGACATCTATATAATATTAACTGTCAACTAATACAGTACTGTGAGTTCAGAGAAAGTACCAGTAAAAAAATAGTTCATTGTGTCTCGACTAGGGTTGTAACGCCGCTTCCGCATCCGCAAGTGCGGAACTTACGAAAGCAATGATAACGCCGCATCCGCTTCCGATTCCATTATTTCTTATGCGGAGTTATAACGGAGGTTAATTTACTAGTAAATAAAAGTAGATGTCGGTTACTATATGTATGTATATCCATGTTCAGAGTCGCTGGTGATCGGTGGCAGTATAAACCAGCACGGCGCGCTGCTGGTGCGCGCCACGCACACCGGCGAGGCCAGCACGCTGGCGCAGATCGTACGTCTAGTGGAGGACGCACAAGCCAGCAAGGCGCCAGTTCAGCGTCTCGCTGATACTATCGCTGGGTTAGTGCACTGGACTAACTTAGGAGGAGATTATGGACTTGTTCGAAGTTTTGATATCTTTTTTATAAGAGGATGAAACGGGGCAGCTGCCTTGCTTCATCCTTTTGGAGAAATTAAATAGTAATAAATAATGAAAAATATAGTAAAACTGTCTTATTATCTCGAAAAGAACACTCCGAGGCAACTTGTTCTTGAAGTGAAATATACATTTTTAAATATTTTATAACAGTAAAGTTTACTTAAGAGGTTATAAAGTATTCTAATAAAGTAAAACATATTTGGTGATTTCATAAAATTTTGTATAAGTTTCAATGGTGGACTGTATATTGTGGTTTGTAAATAAATGATAGGCTGGTCGATTGGATATTGGTCGGAATAGTTACAAGTAGCAATTGATTAAGTATATGTCTTGTCTTGTGGTCGGAGCGCAACTGGCCGGCGCGGTGTGAGGGCGCGGGGGACGGACGAGGGCTAAAAGGGCCCCTTCGCCCCTCATCCCCGCCGGTGTTACAGTGACACGCAACAGTTTCAATTATGATTATTAGTGGTTTAATAATATTGTTTGTGTGTTTATTGTAAGAGCGTCGGTGGCTCAATGGTTTGAATACTTGACTTGTAATCTACAGGTCTTGGGTTCGAATCCCGCCATGTACCAATGTGATTTTAGATTTTTCGAATTTTCATATGTACATAATTTACCCGACGTTCTTACGGTGAAGGAAAACATCGTGATGCAACCTGCACATATCGGCGAAGAAATTCAAAGATATGTGTGAAGTCAACCAACCCGCACTTGGCCAGCGTGGTTGACTATGGCCTAGTCACCCCTTAATAGGGTAGGCTTCGAGCCCCTCGGTGGGGACGTATAGTGAGCTGGTGATGATGAATATTGTTTGTGTAACAGGTATTTCGTGCCGATGGTTGTATTCCTATCAATATTAACACTGATATGCTGGATAATAAGCGGTGCGCTCAACATAGAAAGAATAAAAGCTATTACACCAGTAAGTTGAAATATTCCCTACTTTAAATTTACTTACGAATTACAAATTATTTAAAAAACAATATCCTTGTACTGGACACTTTATAACGAATTAACAGAAACTTTTGTTACTGTAAAGTTATTTAATGGAAAAAATACGCTTTATAAGTATAGTTCTTTTCATATATCTTAGCTTATATGCCTCTTTACATTCAAAACTGTGTTCTGAACGCTGAACACTGCGACTCTTAATTTAGAGCCGCTAAGATATAACAACTATTATAAAATATCTTTTTACCTAACTGGTTAGGTAAAATGGTCAGGAAAATAGAACAAGCCAAAGAATAGATATCAAAAACAGCATTCATTAATTTGTCACACTCTAGTAAAATGATTATATACCCATCTCTTTTGTTCCCTAGGAGATATATAGAGACGGCACTAGATGGGAGCTGATAGTGCAGAGCGCGTTCCACTTCGCGCTGAGCGTGCTCGCGATCGCGTGCCCGTGCGCGCTGGGCCTGGCCACGCCCACCGCCGTCATGGTGGCCACGGGCGTCGGCGCCAAGCTGGGATTACTAATAAAAGGCGCTGAACCTCTGGAAAATGCACATAAAGTATGTTTTTTATTAAAAATACTATACAGGATGTTGAAAAAGTTATAGGTACTGACACGCTATATAGGAAAGCAAAGAAAACTAAACAGACTTTTTTCTTTGAAGATCCACTCACGTATTGGTTATTAATAAAATTAAAAATTGTCGATGTGGCCCAAGGATTACGCAACAAAAAAAATATAAACTGTGCGAAAAAGAGTACAGACCAAAAGTCTGTAGATGTTGATTTAAAATAAAAATAAAAATCACACTTAAACTCAAATTCCATGAAGTCTTTGACGTCTGAAGTAAATTATTTAAAATTCCTTTAATTATACGCCTCTTAGTGTACATTATTATACTGAAATCACTCTAGGAGATTTAAGTCAGAGTTAAATTGTTTTTTTGTCAGGTGAAAACGGTGATATTCGACAAGACGGGTACAATAACCCGCGGCAAGACGAGCGTGGCGAAGGTGTCGCTGCTGACGGGCGAGCCGGCCAGCCTGCCTGACATCCTCGCCTGTCTGCACACCGCGGAGCTCAACTCCGAACATCCTGTAGCTTCCGGTGAGTCGAGTCTTGAACAAAAGATGGCGCTGTCACTAATAATTTTTGCCTTTTAGGAAATAAATGTTTAGTTTAGTTTTAAACAGTGGTAGTGCCCGCTTTAACATCTTAGCACGAATAGGCCGGCACGCCCGGTGTAATACCACGACCACACAGAAAACAGGCGTGAAATGGAACCAATTCCGTGTTTCGTCTGATGAGTGTGGTGCCGGAGGCCTAATTTTAGTCCCTTTCTCTTTACCACCCTTTTCTTTTAAGAAGAGGATGGGAAGAGGAAGTGGATTTGACGGTGGAGGAGATGCATAGGAAGGGGAAATATCCACTTTATGTGCGTCTCCTCCGTCGGATAAGGGTAGGCAACGCATCTGCAATTGCGGATGTCTATGGGCAGCGGTTGCTTCGCCATTTTGGCGGATCCAGGTGGCCGCTTGCTCGTTTGCCACTTTATGTTATAAAAAAAAAAAAAAGTTTGATTTATTGTTATCTCATAGAAAGTAAACATAATAATGTTAAAAAATAGTTCACGGATTAATCTATATTTGCTATGAGAGAGGGAGAGTGAGAGAGAGAGAGAAAGAGAAAGAGAGGGAAAGAAGTATAGTAAGACGTATTTTTAATGCAATTTAATGTATCTACGAAACGGCTTAACAGATCTTTAAAGGCACAGAGTAGTTTGGACAGACGAATAGGTAACTAATTATGTTTTTATTTAATAGCGGGCGATAGTTTATTATAAAATAGTGGGAAAACCAGTTATGAGTATGTATAAATTCGTCATGTTTGTAAGTTAGTTATCTTAGTAAAACTAGTTTTGAATCGTGTACAGCGATAGTGCGGTGGTGCGGCGCCGCGCTGGGCGAGACGCGCGCGGCGTCGTGCAGCGGGTTCGCGGCGGCGCCGGGCTGCGGGCTGCGTGCGCGCGTGCGCCTGCGCCCCGCCCTGCAGCCGCCGCAGCACCTGCGCGACGCTATCAATGCTGCCAAGTATGTACTATTGTATTGCATTTTGATTGGATCCGACTCGAAGGACCATGTTTAACTTTAACGGTTTATTGACTATCAATATTTTAGAGATTTTTAGAGAAATGCGAAAGTTTAGATGGATGGATGGATGTTTCGTTAGAGTTTGTAGCATAAACGGCTGAACAGATTTCAATGAAATTTGGTATAGATGTAGAGGACAGTCTGGAAGAACACAAAGGCTACTCACTTTTTTTTTTTTAAATTTGAATTGACATAAATACATTGCTTGTTTTTTTTGTACTATAGAAATCTTTTATGGTCGAATACTGAAACGATATTTTAATATAAAAAGGCGTTTTAAGTGTTAACGCTATTCTTAAATTACAAATTCATTAAAAATGTCTCCTGTCAGATTTATGTAACAAAAGTTTAAAATTCGTTGCAGTAATCGGCTAATCTAATGGTCTTTAGCTGAAATGTACACCAATCTAAACGTAACAAAGTGTTGAACTCAGCCGTTAAGTGTGGTTCGTACTAGGCTAATACAGTTGGACAGTATTGTATAACTGGACTGTCTGTTAACTGGCATAGTATGAGCAACTGACGTCAAAGACTGACTTTGTGCGGTTCATACTAAGCCATGTCCAACTATACTGGCTTATGAACCGCACAAAAGCAGTTATTGATAATTAATTAGTGTTTGTTATCCTAAGGGCAGGAGAGACGCTGCAGATATGCGGCGTGCCGGTGGAGCTGGTGGCGGGCGCGGGGGACGCGGCGCTGAGCTCGGCGCAGGCGGCCGCGCGCCTGCACGCGCTCATCGTGCCGCCCGCCGACCAGCAGGCAAGATTATACCTTCCTACTATTCATATAACATTCAAAATCACTAAAGTATTACTATCGTAGCTTCACTTATTGAATTCTATAGTGACTAAGTTAGTCATTTCTTAATATGTACTAACTGTTCCAAATATCAAAATTCAAATGTTCACAAGAGAACGAAGGTTTTTGCGATTGTCTGAAAATTTAAGTAAATATAGGAAACTTGCTTGTTTGGTATTTGCTTGTAGTTTTTGTGCTTTTCTTGCATGACTACTTTTTCCAATTTATTCATCTCCTAGATTAAATAGCGTGAAAGTATATAGACTAAAGAGTGTCGTTAGTGTAAGGATTTTAAAAAAATAATTATTCAAAAACATGCTGTTATTACTGTAAATGTTCTTTGATAATTAGCTTTTTAATTTGTGACATGTTTAATAATTTTGATACTCTTTGGAAATAAAAATGTAAGCGGTTACCATGGGAACGTGTTGTTGTTAAGTCAGGGGGATGAACAAAAAGATAACTAACCTGGAATAAATGGTTTTAATTCTCAACAATTTATTAGCTTCCTCTCGCGACTTCGCCCGCGTGAAATAAAAAAAACAAAAGTGTAATATCATATAGTAACCTACGTCTTCCTCCAAACTTTTCTCTACATCTATACCAAATTTGATCGTCATACGTTTAGCTGTTTAGGTAACAAACTCTAACAAACATCCATCCATTTCCATCCAATCCAATTGCATTTATAAGAAGGCCGGAGGCCTAATTTAAATCCCTTTCCCTTTACCACCCTTTTCTTATAAGGAGAGTATGGGAACGGAAAACCGGATTAATTAATATTAAAACAATATTAGTACGATTTGTAGGAGTCTGGCAGCGAGCAAGTAGTGTTAATCGGCAACCGCGAGTGGATGTCTCGTAACGGCGTGGCCGTGCCCGCGCGCGTGCAGGACCAGCTGCGCCACGACGAGCTGCTCGGCCGCACCGCCGTCCTCGCCGCTATCAACGGTAATATATACATCTCTTTCACTCTCCCTCACATTCTGATACCTGTGTATAGTTCTATCTCTCTCTGACATTGTGTCCCGGTCTTCGTGACTGTAAGCAAACTGTTATGCTTGTATCCCTCTTCTATCCATTATCTTACTTCTCTTTCTAATACTTTTTCTTCCTATTTAGGATAAGTGTTGTTTTTAAGGGATTTGGGAATTAAATTTAAAAGAACCTGTCCCACCATTGGCTAGTAACAACCCAACATGTCAAGCATGTGATGGAAAAATAAGATTTTATGAATTTATCTGACAGTGACATCATTTTTAATCTATTTTAGACTCTATCAGCCAGTGGTGGGACAAAGTCTAAGCATTTTTGACATTAAGTCCTTTGGGACTTATATGTTTAATCCTCAGTCATTATTACTGTTAGGTTACTTAAGTATAAATTCAATACTTAAGTATTGAATAGTGAGCTGGAAATAATTTAAGATAAGACCTTTGTTTTGTACTTGTAAACTTGGTAGAGTCTTTCATGTCACTTACAAGTTAAACGTAAGTACAACAGATACCAAATTTCATCGAAATCAGCCCTTTAGGCTACAAACTCTAACAAACGTCCATCTATCCATCCATACATCCATCTAAACCTTCACATATATAATATTAGTAAGAGTAAGATTATGGTACACAGATCAGTTAGTGTGTACTATCGGCGTGGCGGACGAGGTGAAGCCGGAGGCGCACTTAGCTGTGTACTGGCTGAAGCGCATGGGCCTGCAGGTCTGCCTGCTCACTGGAGACAACAGGAAGACAGCGCTGGCCATCGCACGACAGGCCAGTACTGCACACAGACACACAGACAGAAACACATAGCATACGTATACGCACGTACATACACTTCTACGTATAATACGAATTAAATTTATGAAATAACAAATATTGCCGACTACCTGTTATAAGTGCAATAATATTCTCAAGTGACTTTGTAAAATAGTCTGTTGAAAATACAGTCTTTAAACCTAAAAGAGGGAATTAGCCTATGTGTTCTTCCAGACTATCCTCTACATTTATGCCAAATTTCATCTAGTTTAGTAACAAACATCCATTTAAACTTTTGCATTTAATATTAGTAAGATTTACGTATACACATATATGGTACGCATATGCAAAAGTACGTATACAAAATATATTAATGTGATAATTATTGTAGGTGGGAATCAACAAAGTATACGCAGAGGTGCTGCCCTCGCACAAAGTGGCCAAAATACAAAAACTACAAGAACAAGGACAGAAAGTAGCTATGGTAAGTTTTATCCCACCAATATCTTTATCTAAACACGTTTATTTAAATTTCTATATCGATTAAATATTTGTCTATATTAAATACTAGCTTTTGCCCGCAACCTCGCCTGGATGAAAAAAATACCAAATTAGTAGTCTAAGTGTTTGTACAGACTGTATTCTACATCTGTGCCAAATTCGATCTAGATTTGTAGACCCGTAAAATATCTTCTAACAAACATCCATCATATATATTAGTAAGAGAAATGATCACAGTACTTATGCGTTGTATTGCTACGCAGGTTGGCGACGGCGTCAACGACAGTCCAGCGCTGGCGCAGGCTGACGTGGGCATTGCCATCGCCAGTGGCACTGACGTCGCCGTGGAGGCAGCAGACCTCGTACTCATGCGGGTATATTGAATGGCTATTTTGTTATTAATGTCATTGTACTTTTTTAAAGTGGCAAACGAGCAAGCGGCCACATGAATCCGCCGAAATGGCGAAGCGACCGCTGCCCAAAGACGCTTGCAATTGCAGATGCGTTGCCTACCCTTAATGGACCCATAAAGAGGATATTTCCCCTTCCTGTGCGTCTCCTCTATCAAATCCATTTTCTCTTCTCATGCATTCCTTATAAGAAATAGGCGGAAGGAAAAGGGGCTAAAAGTAGACCTCTAAAGAAACTAAATCAGATATAGTCTTCGCAATTTCGTCCTGGCGTAATGAGAAGAAAACTTAGTGAGTAGCCTATCTGTTTCAGACTATGTTCTACATCTCGGAAAAATTACTAATAAACCTTCTAACAAACATCCATCCATACCATTAGATGGATGGATGTTTTTGTTCAGAAAGTTTACACTTTCGTATTTATGATAGTAAGATTAATAATATGACGGTTTTACATAACAATAAAACCGATATTATGTGCCGAGAAAACATACAGCATTGCTTATGAAGATGCGTTATATACTTA